TGATGGGGTCTAGATTGGTTGGTTCGCTAACATAGTAGGATAAGTGTGGGTGCCACTCGCGGCTCGATTTGGGTCGTGACACCGTGGCAGCCTGTGCAAATAGTATAATTTTTTGTCGCGGACTTTCTAATTCTTTGTGATCAGTTGTACTCTGGAGGGTATCAAAAACTAACTTTTTAAAAATAACTTATCTAGTATGTAAAGTTCAGTTACATTAATGCGATAAAATAGATTCTGAGTATACTATCTCACTTGCTTACAATATGTAGTCCATACAAACTCTACCAAATACATTCAAACAAAAATAGGACCTAGAAAAACTATTTTCAATCAAATTGGACATTAGAACTTAAAGCCTCATAGAATCAAACAACATTTTGAGAACAATCAACAAAGATATACAACGATTACGTTAAAAGATGCTCAAAAGAGTACTGAGCCACACCTGGAGAGAAAGGTAAACAATCAAATTTTACAGCCTCATTTCGAGAACCCAGAACACATAGCAGGCACACTTAAAATCGTGGCTGAATAAACTGCATACTATCTTGAACAAACTAAAAGGACACTAAAGTAACTTTAAGAAAATAGATCAAATCATATTAACTAAGAAATTGATACAAACTAGCAGCTCACTATTTCTGTCACAACAATGCATAACATTCTTGGTCTGAAACATACAAGGAAAAATTATAGATAAGAGTTGTACCCCTCGCGAAGCGACATACTCAGGACAGAGATGAAACCACGAGCAACTTCAAACATCAAATTGCAGAGCTCATTATTCGGTTTCTAATGCCTATCGCCTGATAATAAAAGGAAACAAAATATCTCTCTATATATAGCTGAATGATAAGGCTGCTGATGTGACATGTCTTATTATTTATCTATTTTCTCCTAATTTTGCTTTTCTTTCTTCATTTTTATTTTATTAATATTTTTAAAAAAATAACTTTGTTCATCATAATTATGGGCAATTAAATTAGGAAAATAATTAATGCTCCAGCCCATGTAGCATCGATTACTTCTATGCTTTTACCAATAATTAATTGGCATCATTTCTTTGCTTATTCATACTCTATGTTCTGATATATATATATATATATATATATATATATATATATATATATATATATATATATATATATATATATATATATATACACACTAGAGAAGCATGTTCCTGCAGAACACGAGTTCAAGACTTAGAAAAATTATAATGCCCGTTAATTCTAAATATCAATAACTACTTAATAAGTTATAAATAATTATAATTACAGAATATGCAAATTAAAATTTAAACAGAATACAAACAGACTTACTCATATATCAGTAATGCACAATTTCATATCTACGAAGTAATTCAACAAAAACACGTCAAACAATTCTATATCTTGTACATTCAAGTGCATTAAATCTTGCTCTTTTCTAGACATTATTTTGAGGATGTAAACATCATAAAATCAATATATTACAATCTATTGATGAGACATTTCTAAGAGGCTAGGGAGTATATGAGGAAATTTGGTTCACTTTGATCAAAAATTACGATCAGAGGTTGTTCCGGTGGAGATTGTTGAATTTTCTATTTCGTTGCAAGTCACCTGAAATTTAAAATATCAAACACATTATTCGAATTGAATAAAAATGTATAAATATATTTTAATAAAATATAACCAAGGTGTTAACTACATTAGTTAACAATCAATATTTCATAATAATCGGACATTAAACTTTTACAAAACATTTTAATTGACAAAGAATGTGCAAAGAACAAATACCAAACATTCTATATAGGTTGCAAAAGTGGGAAATGGGTTTGAACAATTACAAAGCCACATATGACTACAAGAATATGGGTAGGTACATACCCTACTACACAAATGGTTGTTGCTGCCTCAGCTCTTACGGAAACTCAAAATGTTGTACTCAATTTTGCTCATCATAATTTATATAAATTCTTATTTAGAGCTTTCTCTCTCCATCTGTGAAGGTATATGTAAAGCACCACGAATTGATACATATAGCTAGAAAGCTACTCATCAAAAAGACAATAAAATGCAAAAAAAATAAAAAAAATAAAGTATAAGTACCAGGTAACTATAGCCCAAGAGGTAGTTAAATATGAGAAAATACACCAATCTAAGTACTAAGAGCAGTTCTGTTTTTTATGAGGAAAACTATCAGTGAAGACATGATTATCTGTAATCTTCAGAGAAAGGTCCAACATTTATTAGTTCAATTAATAGATAACTAATTCTAAAAAAAATAACTAAACAAATAATAAGAGACTAATGACTGATAACACATATCTGAACAATAAAAGTGTACATTTTCGGTGGGTGATAGTTCTGTATTAGTGCATGGTGAATGTTATGTGTAAGGTATTCAAGTGAAACATTACATTGGGACATATGAAATTAGATATTCAGCTCCCAATTGTATTAGTTGTAGTTATTTTTTATATAAGGACGTTTTACATGACCTATAGGATAATTAAAAAAAGTTTCATAAAATGCAAACACATAATACATCGATCATTAAAGGAATAGGCACTTCACAACTAAAGCCCTTCATTCATGCATTTTTTACCGAACAGGTAGTAAACATTCACGTCCTAATTAACAACACATTTATGCATTAAACCAAACAGATAGTACGCATTTCACTTGCAAAAAATGATATGTCAAATCGAACAACTGATTCGACGCAACGAGTTGTCTCGTAGAAGTTTATTTATTGAAGTTGTACTGGGTGAGTAAAGCATAAAAATAACTCGAAAACACAACAAATAAAATTGAATATCGAGGAACACAGTACTAATAGAAAAATCTTGGGGACAGAGGAAAACCAAGTGTTGTTGGACAGTGAATTAAATTTCAACACTCAACTACACTACATTCAAACATCATCAACTCATTAATTAAATCTAAAAACAGAATTTTATAAATCTATTCGCCAAAGGTAGAAGTCGAGGAAAAATTGAGAAAACAAACACATGTAGACGAAAAAAATGAAATCGAATTAATAACAAATTAAAAGAGGAAGAAAGAACCTTGAACATGAAAAGGTTGGAGGCAACATGTCTCTTCAATAAATGAGAGGGTGGAGGGATGTTATGGAAGTCGTGGAAGCATCTAGTGATGCCACACACATAAAAAAGTGGCCAAGTTAACCATGTGAAATTGGATGAAAATAGGACATCAAAGAAGAAATAACAACAAATATCTTCGACTAATATTTTTTTTTATAATAAGCTGTCATGTCGATAGTGTCATATTACTGACTCTTTTACTATAGTACAAATAAATATATACTACTACTACTTCTTGTACCTTTTCTTTTGAGGTCTCATGTAAGTGTTTATCTCTGTTCTTTTATTTTTTTACTTTTTTATTTTATTCATGATCATCTAATAACATGCTGACTAATATGGAGTTATTTTTTACTTGACGCGGTAACTTTTAATAAGTGTCAGCTTAACTATAGGGCTGCCGATGTGGCATGCTTTAATGATCAATATTTTATTTATCTATTTCTTCTTATTTTGGATTTTTTATTCATTTTTTATTTATTGATCTATTTTAAAAAATAATTTGTTTCATCATAATTAGCATAATGGGCAATTAAATTACGAAAATAATTGATGCTCCAGCCCACGTAGCATTGATTACTTCTATGCTTTTAATTAGAATAAGGTGCTTTTCTCTATTCTCTCTCTCTCTATATATATATATTAGTTATAACAGGCTAACTAATATGAAGTTTTTTTTACTTGAAGAGGTAAGTTTTTTATCAAGTGTATTGTTATTCAAGTGTTTGCAAGATTTTATTGTAATAAGTGTAATTTTTTTAAAGTTACCAATATATATGAATAGGTCTCTCTCTCTCTTCTCTCTCTCTATCTATCTATCTATCTATCTATCGATATATATATTGCAAGATTTTATTGTAATAATTGTAATTTTTTTAAAGTTGTCAATATATATGAATATGTCTCTCTCTCTCTCTCTTCTCTCTCTCTATATATATATCTCTATCTATCTATCTATCTATCTATATATATATATATATATATATATATATATATAAAGAACAGAGAAAAACACTTATCTTATCTGAGACCTATATATATATTGAGGTCTCAAATAAGATAAGTGTTTTTCTCTGTTCTTTTTATTTCATTGTTGATCCTTGATTTTTAATACATGAGTGTTCGCAATAAATTTTTGTATGCGCGTAAAGTTAACTGCAAGCAAAAAAAATAAAAGAAAAATGTGATTTTATTAACGAATCGTTGTGAGTATAATTTCGTTGTTCTCTTGATTCTCTCTCCTAAGTTTCTCCGCGATTCGAGGGCCTTCAGTACCGTATTTCCAGAATTGTTGGATGATGTAAACCTCCTCAAGATGTTGTCGATCTCCAAGACGTCGAAAAGCTCTTCATCGTTGTAGGTCGATCTCCGGGAAGAACTCCATTGATCACTCCTTTGAAGAACTATTGATGTTGATACTGTAGCCTTCTCCAATATGATGAATGCTTGTTGAAGAGTTTTTCTGGGCCCCCTTGAATGTCATGCCTATCCCCTATTTATAGTTGTAGGGATTGGACAAGGTTGTTTGTGATTGGCCATATGATGTCATTTTGACACTTGGCACATTGTAATTCGTTCTAGCATTTGACTGGGACTATCACCTCATTTGGACATGTGGCGTCACCTTGTTGGTCTTGGATGCCTAGTCACTATGACACGTGGGTGAGTTTGGGATTTAAGATGAAATGAACCTTGGATTTGAGTTTAATAAAATGAACTTATTTATTTGTAAAGCCCAAATCAATTACTCAGCCCAATAACATGGATTTTATTCAAATTTTGTATGAATTTGATCCAATACAATATATGTGTCTACAAATGCCCCTTACTTCGAGGCTTGTCGACATAGAGGCTTGCCTAAGTTTGGAGACAAGACTTGAAGTAGTCATAAATGTGTTTTCCCTTCTTTTTTTAGGACTTCTCCGCATGTAGGTTTGCTGAATTTTGACGAAAAAAGCTGAACATGAGAAATGACCAAGCTAATATGTTGAGACTAACCTTTACCAAAGTCTTCATGACAACATTCTCTAATTTGTAAGATGTCTTCTGACTTTCGGTTGGTTATCAACTCATTTTTTGACTTGAAATGTTTCAAGCTTTTGAAAACTTATCGCTTGACTTTTCTTCGTAGTATGGTAATTTCATTTAGGTTATCACTACGAAATCACCGCCAATTCAATGAGTAAGGATTGCGTCCACAAGCTTGGCTTGGTGATAGAGATCTTGTGGTGTCGACGCAAATTTTAGGCTTTCACTTGAATAGAT